TAAAGCGTATGTCACCAGCACCCCCACGGATCATCAAAATATCATCCAGAGTTTAGTAAAGGAATCATGTCACAGCCATAAATTATGGCATTATGGGGGGTTATGCATATAATGCCCGGTGAAAGGGTCCTACATGGCCCTGACAACCTTTCAACTCCTGTCTATGGATTCTAGTGAAAGTGCTGGCATTAAAAAAAATGGTTCTGGTATATATCTTCACATGATTCATAATAAACACCAGACTGAAGGTGAAGGGGGTTGTATGGTATTAAACAAAGTTGCCTTGAATTATGTTAATACATTCTGCACATGAAGCTGCTCAGTCTGGTGTTAACAAGCTCAAGTCTGTGTGCACAAGGTTTATAGAATATGTAGAACCTCATCAATTTCTGTCCCAGGAAAAATTACAACCCAAAGTCCCCACCACACTCTATGTCCATTTATTGAGATGCCAATTATCTCACCACTATAGAGGGGGAAACCCAAACCAACAAAGATTTTTTTTTTAATGCTTGCCTGGGTTTGCTACTGGCAAGCATAAAAGGGTCAGTTGCTGTCTCACCAAATGGTCAAAGAGTGTGTTGGAAACCTTTGATTACATTCCTTGCAGATAACGGGGTTGATTTACCACAACAGGAGAGTGCAAAATCTGGAGTTGCTCTACATAGAAACCAATCAGCTTCCATCTTAATTGAACAAGCTGAAGTTAGAAGCTGATTGGCTACCATCCACAGCTGCCCCAAATTTTGTACTTTTGTATTAGTAAATCAACCCCACTGTCTCTGGTGGAAAGCAAACCCAGGATACAAAGAGTCATGACACAAGTGTTTGCCGTTTAACCACCATGCTGCCCCTTACATTTATCTATGAAGGTTTCAGAGATGTAGTCTTCCCTACAACACCAATCTTTCTTCATACAGTATGTGACAAATTTACTTCAAGCATTTTGCAATATTTTATTAGTATGTATTTGTGTTGAGTTTACAGAAGCTGAAGGATCTAAAGGTCATGTGTATCTATAATGGTGGCAGAAAAACAGCATTGAATTAGACTTACTCTGAGCTGCACAGGTATGGTGGGATCTCAGCAGTCCAATGTCACGTCTACACCTTGGACTCATTTTTTAATGTCTTGCTCTCACAAGATTTCCCAGGTTCTCTTTTTATCTCATTTGTTTTTCCCTGGGGATTTGTCTTTTGTGAATATCATCAGCTTTACCCCAGGTGCTACACAAATTGTCAAGTGAGTATTTTAATTCTATTTAATATGCAGAGAACAAAATAAATAACAGACTATATGTGTAATGTCTCTGGGGTCTGCTCAGCCTACTATGGAATAAATTGAATCATTTCATCCACCATAATCCAATCCCATGATTAAAGAATCTTTAAATTTTAAATGTAAATGGATGCCAGTAAATTGTTTTGACCTCTGTTCTATTATAAATTTGTAATACTCTTTTTTTGGTGCAGGTTGTGATTCCTTCAGGAGTGATGTGGTTGGTATATTACGTATTACCATTAGAGATGAGCGAATCGAACATGACGAAGTGGAATTCGTTTCGAAGATTTGGAAAAATTTGATTCGCGACGAATCCGAAGATTAGCAAACTTCGGATGCACGAATCAAATTTTCCCAAAAATGGCGGCGACATGTGTGGCGACAGAGCAGGGATCTCTGGGAAGGCGCGCAGACAAGGCGCGCTGACCCATAATGCATTCATTCATGACATGTGATCGCATTAGCCAATCAGCAGCCAGCCAGCCAGCACTGTGTAATGGTGGAGCTATAAATCGCGGCCATCTTAGAATTCTCCATTATCCTCCGGTCATTCAAGAGAGACAGACCTGTGTGTATTAGGGACAGAGTTAGGGCACAGAGACTTTAGGGCCACAGAATCGTTACTCAGGGACACAGAATCGTTACTCAGGGACACAGAATTGTTACTCAAGGACACAGAATCGTTACTCAGGGACACAGAATCGTTACTCAGGGACACAGAAATCGTTACTCAGGGACACAGAATCGTTACTTAGGGCCACAGCTATCAAAGAATCGAAAATTTAAAGTGACATACACCCTTTTTTTTTTTTGGTGGCTGTCGTGCACAGTTGGTGCTGCAGTTTGCCGATTGTGCAAAATAAACTGACTTTCTGCTTCACAACCACTATTGTACGTTCAAAGAGTTAAATCCATTTACACGCCGGCTGGCAGTAATATTTTTTGGGTGATTAGTGCATTCCAGTGACATAAACGCACAGTTTCCAGCCAACGGCAAGCTGCAATTGACCGATTGTGTACAATAAACTGACTTTCTGCTTCACAACCACTATTGTACGTTCAAAGAGTTAGATCCATTTACACGCCGGGTGGCGGTAATATTTTTTGGGTGATTAGTGCATTCCAGTGACATAAACGCACAGTTTCCAGCCAACGGCAAGCTGCAATTGACCGATTGTGCTAAATAAACTGACTTTCTGCTTCACAACCACTATTGTACATTCAAAGAGTTAAATCCATATACACGCCGGGTGGCGGTAATATTTTTTGGGTGATTAGTGCATTCCAGTGACATAAACGTACAGTTTCCAGCCAACGGCAAGCTGCAATTGACCGATTGTGCTAAATAAACTGACTTTCTGCTTCACAACCACTATTGTACGTTCAAAGAGTTAGATCCATTTACACGCCGGGTGGCGGTAATATTTTTTTGGGTGATTAGTGCATTCCAGTGACATAAACGTACAGTTTCCAGCCAACGGCAAGTTGCAATTGACCGATTGTGCTAAATAAACTGACTTTCTGCTTCACAACCACTATTGTACGTTCAAAGAGTTAAATCCATTTACACGCCGGCTGGCGGTAATATTTTTTGGGTGATTAGTGCATTCCAGTGACAGAAACGTACAGTTTCCAGCCAACGGCAAGCTGCAATTGACCGATTGTGCTAAATAAACTGACTTTCTGCTTCACAACCACTATTGTACGTTCAAAGAGTTAGATCCATTTACACGCCGGGTGGCGGTAATATTTTTTTGGTGATTAGTGCATTCCAGTGACATAAACGTACAGTTTCCAGCCAACGGCAAGCTGCAATTGACCGATTGTGCTAAATAAACTGACTTTCTGCTTCACAACCACTATTGTACGTTCAAAGAGTTAAATCCATATACACGCCGGGTGGCGGTAATATTTTTTGGGTGATTAGTGCATTCCAGTGACATAAACGTACAGTTTCCAGCCAACGGCAAGCTGCAATTGACCGATTGTGCTAAATAAACTGACTTTCTGCTTCACAACCACTATTGTACGTTCAAACAGTTAAATCCATATACACGCCGGGTGGCGGTAATATTTTTTGGGTGATTAGTGCATTCCAGTGACATAAACGTACAGTTTCCAGCCAACGGCAAGCTGCAATTGACCGATTGTGCTAAATAAACTGACTTTCTGCTTCACAACCACTATTGTACGTTCAAAGAGTTAAATCCGGTTTTATTTTTGGGGTGCTTATTGAATTAAAGAGTATGTCAGACAACACGCAGAGGAGTGGCAGAGGAGGCAATGTTTCAGGAGCGAGCAGACGTGGCAGCAGAGGAAGGGGTCGAGGCAGCACTAGTCGCAGCCAGAGGCCAGTGCTCCCGGTGTCATCCAGCGGTCGTGTCTCCACCGACAACCCTGCCGTCATCGATTGGTTGACTCGGTGTCAGGGCTCCCAGGTATGACCAGAGGTGTGTGACTGACGCAGGGAAACGCAGACTTCAGATATGTGATAAACAATATAAATTTATTAACACTAACAATACAAACATAAACGCAGTGCAATACTAAACATAATACAGTGCAAACAAACCCAACCTACACCCCACAGATAACAGTACATACAAGCAAGCGTCGTCAGGCAGGCCAGGTCAATATCAATTGGGCAGGTAGGTACAGGGGGAGCAAGCAGAGAATGGTCGGGGTCACAGGCCAGGTTCAGCAGGTAGCAAGCAGCGTAGTACAGAGGGTCAGGCAGAGGGATGGTCAGGAGTGAGCCGGGATCAGAGCAGGAGAAGTCAGCAGCAGTTCAGATCAGGCAGGGTCAGCAAAGGAACAGAAACAGGATGCAGGAACAGAAACAGGATACAGGGCCCAGGACAAACACAACACCAAGGCAGAGTCTGCAAGTCTGGCCATCCCTTAAATACCCCAGCATAATCAGTTCCAGGTGTTAGCTGGCTGCAAAGTTGAGTCTCTGATTGCTGGGAGCACCCGCTGGCCAGCCCTGGTACTGCAGATCAAAAGGCAGGTGAGTCCCACCATTGCTGGCCAGTCCATTCCTGACAGTACCCCCCCCTCAAGGAGCGGCCTCAGGACGCTCCAAACAGTCCTAGCTGGGAAAAATGTTCCACCGCCCGGGTCTGGTAACTGGCGGGATATCAGAGACTGGCACACCGGGCAGGACTCCGGGCAGCGGTACACCGGGCAGAGGCACATCGGGCTGGACTCCGGGCAGAGGCACATCGGGCTGGACTCCGGGCAGAGGCACACCGGGCAGAGGCACATCGGGCTGGACTCCGGGCAGAGGCACATCGGGCTGGACTCCGGGCAGAGGCACATCGGGCAGAGGCACACCGGGCAGAGGCACACCGGGCAGAGGCACATCGGGCTGGACTCCGGGCAGAGGCACATCGGGCCGGACTCCGGGCAGAGGCACATCAGGCAGGACTCCGGGCAGAGGCACATCGGGCAGGACTCCGGGCAGAGGCACATCGGGCTGGACTCCGGGCAGAGGCACATCGGGCTGGACTCCGGGCAGAGGCACATCGGGCTGGACTCCGGGCAGAGGCACATCGGGCTGGACTCCCGGGCAGAGGCACATCGGATTACCAGGCGAAGCAGCAGGCAGCGGGCCACCAGACGGAGCAGCAGGCACCGGGCCCCTGGGCGGGGCAGCGGGCGCCGGGCCCCCGGGCGGAGCAGCGGGCGCCGGGCCTCCGGGCGGGGCAGCGGGCGCCGGGCCCCCAGGCGGAGCAGCGGGCGCCGGGCCCCCGGGCGGGGCGACAGGCCTCGGGCCCCCAGGTGGGGCGACAGGCCTCGGGCCCCCAGGCGGGGCGACAGGCCTCGGGCCCCCAGGCGGGGCGACATGCATCGGGCCCCCAGGCGGGGCAACAGGCATCGGGCCCCCAGGCGGGGCGACAGGCATCGGGCCCTCAGACGGAGCGGCGGGCGCCGGACCCCCAGATGGAGCGACAGGTCTCGGGCCCTCAGGCGGAGCGGCGGGCGCTGGACCCCCAGATGGAGCGACAGGTCTCGGGCCCTCAGATGGAGCGGCGGGCGCCGGACCCCCAGGCGGAGCTACAGGTCTCGGGCCCCCAGGCGGGGTGACAGGCATCGGGCCCCCAGTTGGAGCTACAGGTCTCGGGCCCTCAGGCAGAGCTGCGGGCGCTGGACCCCCAGATGGAGCGACAGGTCTCGGGCCCTCAGGCAGAGCGGCGGGCGACGGATCCCCAGGCGGAGCTAAAGGTCTCGGGCCCCCAGGCGGGGCAGCAGGCACCGGGCCCCCGGGCGGGGCAGCGGGCGCCGGGCCCCCGGGCGGAGCAGCGGGCGCCGGGCCCCCGGGCGGGGAGCGACAGGCCTCGGGCCCCCGGGCGGGGCGACAGGCCTCGGGCCCCCAGGCGGAGCTACAGGTCTCGGGCCCTCAGGCGGAGCAACAGGTCTCGGGCCCCCAGGCGAAGCGGCGGGCACCGAGTCACCAGGCACGACAGTGGGCTCCGAGTCAACTGGCATGACCGCTGGCACTGGGTCAGACATTGGATCGTCTGGCTGGACAGCGGGCATCGGGTCACCAGGCATCAGGTCATTTGGCTCGACAGCGGGCACCGCGTCATCTGGCAAGGCAGTGGGCTCCGAGTCAACTGGCATGACCGCGGGCACTGGGGCAGACATTGAATCGTCTGGCTGGACAGCGGGCATCGGGTCACCAGGCATCAGGTCATTTGGCTCGACAGCGGGCACCGCGTCATCTGGCAAGGCAGTGGGCTCCAAGTCAACAGGCACGACAGTGGGCACCGGGTCATCAGGTATCGGATTGTCTGGCTCGACAGCGGGCATCGGGTCACCAGGTATGACAGCGGGCACTGGGTCACCAGACATCAGGTCATTTGGCTCGCCAGCGGGCACCGCGTCATCTGGCAAGGCAGTGGGCACCGGGTCACCAGGCTTTGGATCGTCTGGCTCGACAGCGGGCATCGGGTCACCAGGTATGACAGCGGGCACTGGGTCACCAGGCATCAGGTCATTTGGCTCGCCAGCGGGCACCGCGTCATCTGGCAAGGCAGTGGGCACCGAGTCACCAGGTACGACAGCGGGCTCTGGGTCAATTGGCACGACAGCGGGCACCGGATCAGGTACCGGATCATCTGGATCAACAGCGGGCATCGAGTCAACTGGCCCAATAGGATCGTCAGGCTGGATCAGTTCATCATGCTGGGTAGAGGCATCAGGCTGAATGCCGGCGTCCGGCTGAGTAGAGGCTTCAGGCTGAGTAGAGGCTTCAGGCCGAGTAGAGGCTTCAGGCCGAATACGGGCTTCAGGCCGAGCAGAGGCACCAGGCTGAATAGAGGCATCAGGCCGAGCAGAGGCCTCAGGCCGAGCAGAGGCTTCAGGCCGAGTAGAGGCTTCAGGCTGAAGAGAGGCATCAGGCTGCGTACAGGCATCAGGCTGAGTAGAGGATTCAGGCTGAGTAGAGGCTTCAGGCTGAACCATGGAAGGCAGGCTCACCGGTTTGGATACTGGCAGGATGGTATTGGTTGGAAAGAATTTTCGCTTTTTTCTGGTTTTAACTACTGCAAGCACTGCAAGTAAACGCAGGTCTGCAAACGAATGGAGCAGCTGGAGACAGAGAAGAACTGGAGGATGGAACAGGAGAGGGAGCAGTTGCTACAGAGGGCTTTTTTACAGGGTTAAAGGCAGGATAGGTGCAGCGAGTGGGAACAGGGTACTGACATGCGGTAGATAGCCAAGTATACTGGGCTGTAACTGGAGGAGCTGTTGGGAATACAGGAGTAGAGTTAGAAGCAGGACTGGGTTTTTGTAAGCTGACTGAGGCTGGGTGCAACAAGTCTGTCCATGTCTGCAGTAGGGGTTGAACAAAGCTGAGCTTACACAAAGCCTGTCTGGTCAATGACTGCACTGCGTTTATACAATCTCTTAGTGTCTGTGGTGAACATGTGGAATAACGCTCCAGAAAGTAACCCACATCATCCTCTAATAACCACACCAGGGACTCTACCTGGTCTGCACTAAATGGTGGCAAAAATTCATCCCTGCATTCGGGGGTACTAGATGAAACCAACTCTGCACAAACCTCAATCAAAGGCTGCACCTCAGAGAACTCTGTGCCCTGATCTACTAGAACATGAGCGAGCCGTATACATTCTAGCAGTTCATCCCGGGTATACTCCTTCAGAGTTTGATAAGCATACTCCCTGTCATCAAACACTAGCAGATATAAATACTCAACCTCATCCAGATCCATCCTTCCCATCAACAAGCCAAGATGGCTTCCCTGTGCAGCCACTTCTGGTCAGGATTGGCCTTGGTGTAATGTCAGGGCTCCCAGGTATGACCAGAGGTGTGTGACTGACGCAGGGAAACGCAGACTTCAGATATGTGATAAACAATATAATTTATTAACACTAACAATACAAACATAAACGCAGTGCAATACTAAACATAATACAGTGCAAACAAACCCAACCAACCACCCACAGATAACAGTACATACAAGCAAGCGTCGTCAGGCAGGCCGGGTCAATATCAATTGGGCAGGTAGGTACAGGGGGAGCAAGAAGAGAATGGTCGGGGTCACAGGCCAGGTTCAGCAGGTAGCAAGCAGCGTAGTACAGAGGGTCAGGCAGAGGGATGGTCAGGGTCACAAGCCAGGGATCAGAACAGGTAGCAAGCAGCAAAGTACAGAGGGTCAGGCAGAGGGATGGTCAGGAGCGAGCCGGGATCAGAGCAGGGGAAGTCAGCAGCAGTTCAGATCAGGCAGGGTCAGCAAAGGAACAGAAACAGGATGCAGGAACAGAAACAGGATACAGGGCCCAGGTCAAACACAACACCAAGGCAGAGTCTGCAAGTCTGGCCATCCCTTAAATACCCCAGCATAATCAGTTCCAGGTGTTAGCTGGCTGCAAAGTTGAGTCTCCGATTGCTGGGAGCACCCGCTGGCCAGCCCTGGTACTGCAGATCAAAAGGTAGGTGAGTCCCACCATTGCTGGCCAGTCCATTCCTGACACTCGGTCGTCTTCCTCTTCCCAGGTCACCTCTGACACCTACAGCCAACGGTCGGTGGGTACGTCAGACACAACCGTTAGTTGGCATGGCCCGGGAGCAAGCCCACTGAAATCACGTGTCCTCTACCTGCCCCTGTCCTTTGCTGTTCCCTCACCAAGCGAAGTATCGCATGCTGTGGGCTCAGCCCCACTGTACAGTGAGGAAGAGCTAACAGAGGGCGGTCAGGAACGGGGGGAGACATCCGCCTCTTCAGCAGCCAGGCGAAGAAGTACTGGCGAGGAGAGTGGCTCGGTAGCCGGTCAGGAGACAGGTCTGTCTCCTGACCCACACGCAGCCGAGGGGCTAGTAGTGACGCGGAGACCCTAATTGATGATTATGAGGCTGATCGCACTTGGCAGCCTCGTCGTCATCAGGCTATTGCTTCCGCATCATCAGGAGAAGAGGGTGTCAGCTTGCCAGCGAGCAAAACAGTCGGTGGGTTGCCCAGGAGGCAGCAGGGTCGCAGCAGTGTCAGTGGAGGCAAACGGCCACGGAGTAGAGCACCAGCTCCACTGCAGCCTACCACCACGGCCAGTAGTGGTGCCGGTGTGCACGGAGGAAGTAGCAGTCAGCCAGTGAGGGGTAGCGGGGGCAAAGTTTCCTACTCGGCGGTGTGGCAATTTTTCGTCAAGCCGCCCGAGGAAGTAAACGTAGCCGTATGTTGACTATGTGGCCAGAAAGTCAAGCGTGGCCAGGGGGCCCATGTTGGGACTACAGCGTTGCGTCAGCATATGCAGCGTCGCCATTTGGTGGCCTGGGAAAACCGTGATAAAGATACAGCGGTTCTGCCTGCCCCAGCCCCCGCTCCATCACCCGCTCCGTTACTTGCTCCGTCACCCGACGTCAATCGCCCTCTATCAGCCAGTCAAGGCTCCAACACCTCTGCTGAGGGGAGTTGTCGCTCGTTGGCATCTTCCGCTCGTTCAGATGCTCCTTCTCCTGCTACTCCTCTTCACGGATTCCGTCAGCAGTCTTTCTTGGAATCCGTTTCCAAGAGACAACAGTTTGCGAGCACGCACCCGACGGTGCAGAAGCTGAACGTCCTCCTGTCCAAGTTGCTGGTGCTGCAGTCCCTCCCTTTCCAAGTGGTGGACTCAGCACCTTTCCGAGAAATGATGGCTTGTGCCGAGCCGCGATGGAGAGTGCCAAGCCGGCATTTCTTCGCCAAAAAGGCAGTGCCAGCCCTGCATTCACATGTAGAAGAGATGGTGGGCCAGTCTTTGAGCATGTCGGTCTCTGCCAAAGTGCACGGCAGCGCCGACGTGTGGAGCTGTAACTACGGTCAGGGACAGTACATGTCATTTACGGCACACTGGGTGAACGTGGTGCTGGCACAGCCGCACCAGCAACTTGGACAGGTCACGACGCTTTTGCCTCCACGTTTGGTCCACAAAAGATGTCCGCCTCTACCACCTCTTCTTCCGCCATGTCCTCAGCCGCCACCACCGTGCCAAGTCCCATTACCCGACCGGCATATCACATGTGCAGGGCACAACGGTGTCACGCTGTGCTGCACCTGGTATGCCTTGGCGAACGTAGTCACACAGGGGAGCAACTTCTGAGTGTAATGAACAGAGAAATCGACAGATGGCTGTCTCCGCGCAAACTGAAAATCGGAACCATGTTGACCGACAACGGAAAGAACATGGTGTCTGCTCTGCGTCAAGGAAGGTTGTGCCATGCGCCATGCATGGCTCATGTGTTCAATCTGGTTGTCAAGCGGTTCCTAAAATCCACCATCCCACTGCAAGACATCCTTAAAATGTCACGTAAACTTTGCATGCATTTCAGCCATTCCTACACCGCAAAGCACACCCTCCTTGAGCTGCAGCGGCAGAACGGAATTCCACAGCATCGCCTGATCTGCAACGTTGCAACAAGGTGGAATTCAACCCTACATATGTTAGACCGCCTTTACGAACAGCGAAAGGCCATCACCGATTTCCTGATGTTACAAGCGGATAAAGGTACTCCCCTGTGTAACTTCGATGTCAGCCATTGGCAGCTCATGCGTGACACCTGCCGCTTGCTCAGGCCCTTTGAGGAGGCCACGCTATTCGTGAGTCGGCAGGACTATGGGATGAACGACGTCATTCCTCTGTTGCACGTCCTGGAACAAATGCTGTTAACAATGGCTGGTCAGGGTGCAGTAGACGTGGCGCACAGATCTCAACGCCACATGACCCCTGTGGGGGCAGGACAGGAAGAAGAGGAGGAGGTAGAGGAGGACATTGGTGCTCAGGAATTATTGAGTGAAATGGGTGGTTTTTTCCACTCAGCGGACAGGAGTGGAGGAGCAGGAGCATCTGGTAGAGGAGAGGAGGAGACAGAGGACCCAGACGCACCGTGGCAGTATGCTGTGGAGATGGAGGCAGGGAGTCCCTCGCATTCCTTGGCACAAATGGCCCATAGCATGCTCGGTTGCTTGCGTAGCGACAGCCGAATAATAACCATCAGACAGAGGGATGACTTTTGGCTGTCCACCTTGTTGGACCCTCGCTACCGTTCAAAAATGGTGGCCTTTTTCACACCTGCTGAGAGGGAGGCCAAAATAAAGTACTATAAAAACCACCTATGTAGTCAGTTGGTCTCTGCCTTTCTGCGCCAACGTCCATCCTCAGACACTGTGGGCCCTGTGTGCTCGCGTTCCGCTGCCATGGCAGCAGGGGAGGGGTGGGGTGGTAGGAGCAGTGGCAGCTCCACCAGCAGCGGCTGCCTCAGTCTGCAGTCGATGATGAGTAGCTTTCTTCACCAGCGCAGTGAGGAAACTACTAACCAGCCGCGCAGCAGCAGCAGCATCAGGTGGACCTGGAGCAGGACCTCAAACAACAGGCTTGGGCCTACTTGGACAGCACCCTGCCAACCGAGGTAGACAATCCCCTTGACTACTGGGCAACGAAACTTGACCTTTGGCCCCAACTAGCTGAATTTGCCCTTGAAAGGCTGTCATGCCCGGCCAGTAGCGTGGCATCGGAGCGCGTGTTTAGTGCGGCAGGAGGTATTGTAACTCCGCGGAGGACACGACTGTCCACCCAAAGTGTGGAGAGACTCACGTTTGTGAAAATGAATCAGGCGTGGATTAGTCTGGATTTCAAACCACCAGTTCCTGACACAACTGACTAAATCCGCCATGAATCATCCCCCAAACATGTTATTAGGGACAAATAGGCCGCTGTCTTTACAACTTTATAATTCCATGCAGTATATAGCCCTATCGGCCACTTTCTGGCATCCAGTTGCTGTATCACCACCTGCCACGGGCCCCTTCTTCTCATACTGCTGCCAGATCCATCCTCTGCCATGTGCGTCTTTGTCGTCTGCTCACG